CTCGTCCTCGACGCGGTATGGCGCCTGTCCTATGGCCTGGTAGTATTCCGTTAACTGATGGCCGTATATCAGAGGTCGCCCGGCGTCCTCACTCCACCAGCTCCCCCAGTCGTCTGAGAAGAGCCGCCCGATGCAAGTCACGTACTCGGGGTCTGCTCGGAGCTCACGGTCTAGCCAATCCCAAACGCACGAAGACTGGGGCCACTCGTCGTCTATCGAGCGGATCAGCTCTATAAGCTGAATCCTCTCGTCTCCCCAACGAGGCCTACCGGTCGCGAGCGAATAATACATGTAATCTAGGTCGGCAGGCCTTCTCGCCAGGATCTTGAGATCCTGATAGGCCAGGTATGTCTCGACCACTCCACCAATACCTCTAAAGACGCTCTCTACTACGAACGTCGGAACTATCGCCAGCAGGCTCCTAACGCTGTACGGAAAAAACCCGTCCCGTGCTACCACCAGCTCGCCCGTGATATCAAGAGGAGGGCGTCCGTGAAATAGGGTCAACGGGTCGCTCGCGTCCTCCGCTCGGAAAGCAGCTACCTCTTCCCCTAGGTAGCGTAACGCCCTGCTAACTGCGTCACTAGTCCCTGTCGTCGCGAGGCCCACCACGGCCTCCCTGATCGCACCCGGTCCCAAATACAAGTAGGCTCTCACTACGTCCACTCCTTGCCCTGGCCGGTGCTCTCTGTACGTCCAAAGCCACACGTCCTCGGACAGGATTATGGACCTCCACGCAAACTGGCCGTCAGCGTGTCGAATGTTGTGCCCGGGGATCGTGAGCTCGACCAGATCCCCCTCTATGAGTTCAGGGGGCTCTAAGTCCCAGTCAATGGTAGGCCCATAGACCTCTACTTGCACCCGCGGCCACATTCAACTTGCGGCTAGAGAGAACGCAGCAAGCGGGAGGTGTAGATTAATAACTGTAATTTCGCGTCGCTTGCCTCACGCCTTCGATAACAAGCTAGTAGGTTCACCTGAAACCAGGTTACCGCAACGTCTCTTTCCCTTCTCCTTCTAGGGAATTCTTTTGTATTTTTCAATTATAAATTAAAGAAAATGTATTTAGTTAAGATAAAAATTCTTTCTTAGTTTATATATATTAAGGATCAATACTTATATATGCCCGCCGAGTTTGATGCTTTTTAGGGGTAGAAATAAAATTTGTGGATTTTACTAAAATTTCGGCAGCGTTTCGCCTCCCCCCGTTGGGATGGGGTTCGGAACTATTGTCCCTAGACAAATGCTACCTACCCAGAACTAAAGCCAAATGAAACAAGAGGAAAGTCGCTTAAAGAAACAAATTTCTAACGTATTTATAATTAATTTCCCTAATCGCTTTCAATATATTTATATAAAAAAAATAAAAAATTAATAATTTAAATTAGGAGATTTTTCGAAATTTCGACAGCACTTTGCCTCCCCCCCCCTGTCAGGATAGGGTTTGGCCGAAGGCCTCAAAATACCGACGGTAGATGTTTAACAAGAAAGATCAAGAACTGAAAAAGTATCTCAATCTTTAGCTA